ATTATTCAGGGTGAATTTAGTAAGCAATGGATACATTTCTGTGGGTTAAAAACAAAAGTATCAAATGTATTTTATACTGACATTCACTGTCTCTGCATCAGTTTCAAACTAACTGGACAAATCACTCCTAATTGTCTGAGAAATATCTTTACTAAATAGTCATTATTTTTCAAAATTTTTCCAATAACTGTTACTTTATTACTTTCATATAGAGAACCTTAATAAACATTATTTTATTAAAATGCATGTGATTACTCTATCTGGATATAGCATTTTTAAATTAAGAAAGCTTAACATGAAATTTCCCAAGTTGAAAACAACATGGAAACAAAGGGCTTTCTATCACATTCATTTAAATTTGCAGCTGCTAATCTTGTACATAAATGTTAACTTTGTTGAGAATTCACCAAATAAATAGCATCTTTCTCAGCGTCAAATACTATACTAGTGCTAAGACACCTAAGAAGAACATATAAGAAAGGGGTCCTGTCCACCATGAAATAGAATGTTGCCAAGGGAGAAAGACATACGTAATGAAAATATTTAAGGAATAATTCAATAATCATCAAAATGAGCTCTACATAGCTTCAGAGTCAGGGGTAGAGGTAAGAAGAGAAAAAAGACACTTAAATTGTTCAAGACATAAGGACAGGATGAGACTTGAACACGTGGCAGATAGGGTAGGTTTTGTATGGGCAAAAATAATCCTGAGGTGTTATATAAAAGAATAGCATCCAGGGGGTTGAAATTGATTCTGTCCATGACATTTAAACCCACACTGTCAGGAAGCCAGTTTATAGTTGAAATTGAGAACTCATATTGTATAGCTGGAGATAAGCAGGATGAAGAATTAATCACAGCCAATACTTATGGAGTACCTATTGTGTTACGCTTATTTTACAGACGTTATCACAATAACTCCACAGGTGAGTATTATTATCTGTAGTTTATAGATTACTTCATTGCAATTCGATGAGATTAACTTTCTCAAGGTCACAGAGCTAGTGAATGGCACAGCCAGATTTAAACCCAAGTTCAATCCAAAACCCACGCTTCTGTTACTACATCACGTTGTCTTATAAACGGAGTATCATTGTAACAAGTCTCACATCACACTGTGCTGTAGGAAGAACAGTTAAACACTTAAACTTGAACCTGGAACCAAAACACTTAAACTTGGATCTGAATTCTTACTTATATTAGCCATGTGACATTGAACAACCCTCCGTAAACTTTACCCTTTTCTGTAAAAATAAAATACTAGATGACAGCTAGGCCACCACATAGCTGGAGGATGGGCAGAGAGAGGTAAAAGGAGCATGGACATTCATATGATGGTTGGCAAATTCTACTTGCTCAATAAAATTTGTTGAATTTAGACTTGAACAAAGGGATTATGTACAGCATCAACTTTGTGCTAGTTACATAAGGCCATTTCCAATACAGGTTTGAATGAAAATAATTGTAGTTTATAGCTAATTCACAACTGGTTCAAATATTTAAGAGGAATGACTCGACCGTTTTGGTTTAACATAGTTGACAGAAATGATGATGGAGTCACAGTATAGGTTCCTATGGCAAAACTGGTGATACCATGCAATCATCTCTTTCCAAAATGTCCTTGTAGGAGACAGCATGGCCCTTAGCATAGATCCTAAAGAAGGGACACTCCATATATGTGTTCCGGATTGAGTGAACGAGGAGAGAGATGGGAAGGAGGAAGAAAACGAAGAGAAAGGAAGGTTGGTTGAATTTCTAACCAGGGAAGGGCATGTTAGCTGAAATATATGAGATGACGCAACGTAGTTCTAAAGAGTCCACAGAATTTCTTATTTCAATTCAGACAAAATAGATCCCTTTATTTCATAAACAAGTAACAAAATTTAATATTTGGTAACTATGGCACTTATTAATTTTGCCTTTCTGTATGTTGCCCGCAAAGACATTTTAATAAGCCCTGAATTAACAGTGGTAGATCAGAAGGCTGTGCCTGGATTTTTTTTTTTTTTTTTTTGGCTCTAACTCACCAGTTAATCCTCTAGCCTCGTTATTGTTCTCTATGACACTTTAAGAGAGCCCTTAGCTGCATCGCTCCTTTCAGTCTTCAAAGACAAAGAAATAACAATTAGGCTGATTTCTGAGTTACTAAATGACACATAACCAGCACAGAGACTTAAGAGACTTTTAGTTTCGAGCTTATGCCAGAGGGACACAACATCTCCAAAACATTAATCACATGTTTTGTATAAATGCCCTTTGTCCTGGTGCTCTCCTGCCTGCCTCTGGCACCCTTTCCCATCTCATTCAGTTTATGCCCTATTAACTGAATGCTTGCTCTCAATATGTTGCCTTTTCACTGTCAAAAACTTATACTGATTTTTCAAACTTGTGTTGTAAAATCAAAACTACCATTAAATGTAAAGATGTCCACATCAGTTGAGATTCAGGGAAAGGTTTGAAGTTGGGGGAAAACTCCTGAAAGGTGAGTTTTTCTTTCTCTCACTTTTTCGACCAAGCATCTTGTGTGAAATCCTGCCCAGCTCTTAAGTACGGTCTCAAAATCCAGTCCAAGAAGCCAATTTAACACGCAGAGGCATGGATTATAATAAAAAACCTGGTCTCAGTGAGTATTACTGACAAGAAAAAACATTGAAATGAAAAAAGATGAAAATAAAGAAACAATCCAAATGGAAATATAAAATTCTCCTTCTCTGGTGGGAAGAAATACACAAACTCAGGGAGGCAGGAATTGCAATAGAAAGTCCAACTCCGTTCTTTCATTATCTGTCAGAATAGAGAGAGAAAGATGCAATAAGCATGGATACGGGCACTTTTGTTTTGTATGATGTGAGGAGTAAGATGTAAGAAAGAAATATATATGTCTTAGATGTCAAAACATTCTTATTTGAAGTAATTACATGTGTATTTTATAAAGAAAAGGAATTTAAATAACTGTGGATTTTGGATAACTTCAGTCTCTGATCATTTAATTATGCTAAGTATCTGCTTTTTCCCGAGTAATTTTTCTGGTTTCTAAGTTTGTGATCCAGAAGGATCATCAAATCATGAAGCCATATCAATTTTAGACACATCAAATGGTCAAATAATCCTGCCGTAAAAACTAGCCCCAATCGGCAGGTATATAACTATACCCTACAAAGGAAATAAGACAGAACGCAAATTGAAATAGCTATGAAATACAATTTTTCTCCTGTCAAAGCAACAAACTATTGTGTACGTGTTTTTTTACAATAATATGCAGTGCTGGTCAGGTTGAAGCAAGGCTGAAACACAAACATTGCTGATGAAATTGTAAATCTCTGTAATTCTTTTAGAAAGCAGTCAGACTGTATGCATCTTTAAAGAACTCTAAAAATTACATATTATTTATCTTTAATGTATACTTATGGTAATAACTATCACAAATTTTTTTTTAAAAACTCTGCATTTCAGTCTTTGGGTAATGATATAGTTCTTTTCATTGTGGTGCCAAATTTGAACACAGATTATAATTAAGCAAACTATTGTGTATCCTTTTAATAGACTATTATATAAATATTAGAATTACTTCAAAAATAATTTGTAAATAGTCTGGGAAATGCTTATTTTATGTTAAATGAAATAAAAACAAGATACAATAATGCATATATAATATTTTTGTAAGTATATAAAACAAAATCAAGAAAAGTGCAGGGGAAAAAGAAGAGAAATATACTAAAATGATGGGGGATCTTTTTTTTTTGAGTAGTGGAGGTAAAGTTTAGTAAGCTGGTTTTCTTTCTAATTTTCTTTATTTTCCAAAGTTTATATAGAGAGCCTGGCTTATTTATAATGAGAGCAAAGTACAATTAGTTTACTTTAAAAAACTGAAAGTGGATTTAGAGTGAGCCTGCCAATAAAGAGATGGGAACTGGGTATCTCCCTTCTTTTCCTTTCATTTGTTTTCCAAGGGAATCTGTGTTTAAAGCAACACAGTGCCTGGAATATGCGTGTTCTATGTAGATATTTAGGGGGAGGAAGTAGGACCATAAAGGTGAGTTGAGTATAAATTTTCTTGGCCTCGTGATTTTTAAGCAATGTTCTAGAATCACCTGGCTTATTCTTACCCTTTAGGCATTATGCACACCATTTCTCTACTGAAAACACAGTTAGATCTTCCCGTGAAGAACAGAAGTGACAGTTACCTCAACCATGGGAGAATGAATGGCCAAAGAAACTGAGCTGTTTGAATGTCCACATCCATCATAACAACTTATACTGAGTAGAGGAGTTATTGCACCGGCTTTACCCAGGGGTTGAAATGAAAGGAGCATGCTGATTTCCCATTAAAATGAAGAGTTCAACTTATTAGGAAAGTCGTGTGCTACTTTTGAAAAAATAATTAAAACTTTACATTCTCTCATTTAAAAACAAAATCACACAATGTAGTAATACCCAGAAGACTGTTCATTCAATTAATCCTACAGTCAGTAACAGAAATATTCAAAAGAGGTGTTTGGGAGAGGAAATTAACGCTTGAAATTTAATGTGGTCAACTGTGCATCACATTTGACGCTATGTTCTGCTTTCTGGAGTGTTCATTCATTGAAATACATGTTTTATACAAAATAAATCTAATCCAAAGGGCAAGCAAGAGTGTGCTAACCATATGGTGAACACACTGAATTCTCATGTCTAATTAAAACAGGAATAGCTCAGCCTTAAAATAGTCCTGAAGACGGTGCTTCCTATGAAACATCAGTGACGTGCAGGTCCTTTCACGGCCTGAGAGCTGATCAGACATGGGATCAGACTGGAGGCAGTCTCCGAAAACTCTTGGAGGAAATATAAGTGAAGCTATAAAAACAACAACAGCTTTTCTAAGGAATCTGGTCCTCCTCAATCAAATATGTGTGCTTAATTTCCATTTTAATTCTCGGAGATATTCTGCATGAACTCAGATTAGAACAGAGAGATGGGGGAAGGCTATGCTGTAAATGCAGGCAGCTTCTGAATCTCACCTTTCCAAGTGGTCCCTGGACATCAAGGTTGAGGAGCCCTGGTGGGGGAGGGAGGTGGAGCTGGATGCATAGTTGTTTGTGTGGTGCCTGATCTGTGAACAGACAGAGGGGTTCAGTGGACAGAGTTATTGATTATGCCTCCTTTTGTAGATGACACTTCCTTGAACATTTTCAAAGAAAAGCAAAAACAGACTCCGTACATCAGCTCACACAGGCTGTGATCGAGTAAATAAAGATGCTTTAGATATTATCTTCCCAAGGGTCTCATTCCTGCCTCCATGCTTTGACCCACATTCTTATTTCCTCCCACACCAGATGCTACTTGAGAGCAGAGACCAAGTCTAATATGGCTTCTAAATCTCTAGAGCAGTTATCGCAGCACTCATCAAATGCTGGGTAAAAACTCACTGACTTCCAATGATTGGTGTGGTTAAATGTAATCCCACCACTCTCCAGCTTCCAGCGACTTCCTGTTGCTCTTAGGATAAAGACCAGACTGCTGAACATGACGTCAAAAGTCCCCTTTGATCTAGACTTTGGCTGCAACTCCAGCATTGTTTTGAACCTTATGACCTTTGCTATCATGAGCTCCCACTAGCTGTCTATGAACATTATGAACAGTGTCACCCTCCTTTCTACCTCAGGGCCTTTGCACTAGAAGCTACCTCTGCCTGCAGTCCTCTTCCATTCCCTCATCACCTGGCTGACTCTTACTTGTCCTTCAGATCTCAACTTGGAAAATCACCTCCTCAGAGAATATCCTGTTGACCAAGACAGCTCCCCAACTATTTTCTTTTCAGGAGTTCAGAACCAATAGTTATTTATGTGATTATTTGTTTAATATTTACTGTTGTCTCTAGGCTACAAGCTTCATGAGAGCAGGAACCACACCTGGGTTTGCTTACCACCATGTCTCCAGCACTGCCACAGTGCCTGGCATATAGGTCATGGTCAATAAGTATTTGTGTCATGAACGAATGATGCTGTATAATTGGCTCTGAGGCCCATCCTTCAACAGCATTCTCCAAATAGTAGCTTAAATTTATTGGATGCAATCAAAAGTACTAAGAAAAAAATGCCTAAAAAAAATTTCTTTTTTATACCTTTCTCAGAAATTCTCTTATAAGAAATAGCAGAACAAAATGAAGTTCTTACAAGAAATTGTCACAAGAAAAAGCAGAAAGAAATGAAATTCAATGTTTCCTTAGGCAGTCTTTTTTATTGGATTCCTGGATTCCTTTTTTCCTTAAAAGTTTAGTTAAGATCATCTTAAACAGCATGCTCATTCCAAGTGGCATGGCGTCACTTAACCAGGCCAGACAGACGTGCAGTTCTCCGATTCCTGACTGTGTTAGGCAAATAGATAATTTCTGTTTTAGGAAGGCAGTGTTATTTCAAGGACAATAAAATGACATGTCTTCTTTGTAATGAAAATTATGCTTTGGCCAGTATCTATTTCAGAGCAAACAGAAAAAGTTTAGTGGCACTTTTTATAGAGATATTGTGGCTCTGGAAGAGTGGTCAGAGTTGAGGTCAGAGTAGAAAAAGAAACTAGGTTTTCCTATTTCTTCTCTGAGACTTTCAGAATCCCCTCTGTGCCCATGTGTGAGAAGGCCTGCACATGTTAAAGAGCAGTCTGGTTAGACTGGGTTCCTGCGTGGACGACCACAGGTTTCTCTTCCTGCTGTTAGGTGACGTAGGTTCTTGTTTAGAGGCCAGCTTTAACTAGGTAAATGCTCTTGGGGTTGCAGGATTTGTTGGCTCAACTTTAAAAGCAGATACAACTATAGAAATTTGAATATCGTATGTCTGTCCAATGTCAAGTAGCAGAAAAAGAAAGAACAAAAGGAATGAGGCACTGCAAGGTAATTTGTGAAGAGCTAGGAGTTCTGAAGCGTGCTATGGCTCCCCACTGCACCCTCGAAACTCCTCCTCCAGTGGGCCCTGTTTCCCTTGTGGACGCTCTCCACGAATCACTCCACCATTCTCATCAGAAAACTTGGCCTCACTGTCACCACCAACCTCTGCAGCTTGCTCTGCTCCTGCCGTTCACTTCATGCCAATCTTCTTTCCTATGTGTCCCTCTTTTTTTTACTCCTTCTCTCCAGTCTTTGCGCCATTTTTGGATTCTCACCCTCATCCTTCTTGGCTAGCATATCCGTCTGAACTATATGAAACTGACATTTTTGTCGGGTCAAAATGGATAGATATTCATTGGATTCATTGCATATATGGGATAGATACATATGATTTTAGCTAACAACAGCCTTCTAACTAACTAGTGTTTCTGATCCGAGTCTTTCTTCTCTTGAACATATCCTTCATACTGTTTCTAAGGCAAACCTTGGCAAATCCTAAATATCTTAGAAAGTTCCCCATTGCTGCAGGGTAAAGTTCAGAAGTACCTACGGCCACCCCTGAGTGGATCCAACCTACACCTCCGGGTTCACCACCGTCTCTGCTCTTCATGCGAACCTGCTACTTCAACCCTCTACATCACTCGCTTCTCGAGAGATCTGCCAATGCTCTTTCACCCCAAGTTGCTGTGGAGTTTGCCATTTCTAAAGAGCCTCTCTCTCCTTCTGTCCAGAATCAATCATACTTGTTCTCCAAGACCCGGCCTTTCATTTCCTTGGAAAAGTATCATCCTTTGATCATATCTCCATAGCATGTATACATTATTCAAGATGGGCTTCTGTCATCCTATTGTACTTATGAGTCTGTCAGTCTCTCACACTCTGATTTATAGTAAGAGCCCAAGAAAGGTTTGTGAATAAAATAGAATTCTAAGCAAATGATCAGAACTCCTCAATGGTCAACATTATGAAGCCAAGGACTGATCAAACCTTCTAGCATGCATAAGAACCTCTGAAGTGTAAGTCACTTTATCAGGTATGATGCCATGCTCACATTGTAAAAATGGCCCTTGGCTCTCAAAATATGTTGTCTCTACATGCCCCACATAACACCTCAAGAATATCTACGGCCACATTTCACCTAACCATACATCACTCTTCTTCACTAGACCAGGAGGAAAGCACTTAAACCCTCAGTGCAATTTTTTAAATGAATGAACAAATGAATGAATGAAGAACAAGTAAGGACTGTTTTAGGCTGAGTACTCCAAGAAGCAGGCTCTGAGCCAAGAATTTGTATGCGAGTGACTTATTAAGGATGTGCTCCCAGGAGGAACCAGTAAGAGAGTGGGAAAGTAGGACAGAGAAGGACAAGAGGCCAAGCAGGGGTGAAATTTCGGATGAGTCCAGCTTCAGTCTGAACCTTTGGGAAACTCTGGAGTGTAAATCATACCTCAGAGTTTGTTGTATCTCTAAACAAGGGGTCTGGGCCTTTCTACTCCCACATCCATTAGTCATTGCTGCTTTGCAGGGGAATAAAACTCCTAGGCCCTTCTGGCTCTGCCCAGGGGTGAACCTCTGAAGGTCATGGTGGGAGTGGTTAGCAGTGCAATAAGCAGAAGGTAGGGATGGTATGCAGAGCTGGTATATTGGATCTCAGAAGCACTGAGGGGGACTCCATTAGTGTGGGATACTCTACCAGCAAATAATTAGCAGGTTCAGTTTCGCTGGTAGATGAAGTGGCTGCCCAAGTGCACCACTGGGGAACTCTGGGAATGGTGTCCTACTGAAAAGAATCTTCTCCACTTCCTCTACTGATGCCTGGAATCCCTTTAGCTGCAGACACAACTTTTTAATCTATATTGAGAAGCAATATTTTAAAAGGGAGTCACCTTTGTGGAAGGGAGCAAAGATAGAAATACTTATTTCAAGCCCACCACAAGTCAGGTGATGGCACTCTTTCACGTTTAATTCCATTTAATGCTTTACCTTTCAATCACTGGCTTCCATCCACACCCAAGTATGGGTCTTTCCTGAGAGTACAGGATGAACAGACCCTAATGGGCCTCTCTTAGACACATTAGCTCTTTCCACCCTGAACATTTTCCCTGATGCTGCTCAAGATTTTCCTGCTCAAAACAACTCCTCTTCCTCTTGTTTCAGTTAAGCTCATTGCTCTGTTGTGTTCTTCCCACATTGCCACATATGTGTGACACCCAATCCGCTTGCAAAGCTGGTCCTCTCTCTGGATATGAGAGCCCCAAGATTTCAGTTAAAGCAGCTTTATTTACTAAACCAGATTATAGTCTATTTTTAAAGATCTAGTTAAGATAGAAAAGACCATCTGAGTATGCGTGTATGTGATCTTCATCTTGAATTTGAATCTTGGCCTGGATTAGTTTCCTGTGGCAATTGTAGTAAAAAGATTCATGTGTGAGTGGTCACTCCACTGACACCTGAACCCGCCCAGTTCAGTGCAATGACTTGTTGCAATGCAGTGGCTTGTTGGTGGGCCCTGAGTTGTCTGTGGTTTGGCTAAGAATGCCTGATGCTTGTGTTCCTACAGCCACTTTGCCTCCATCTGGTGACCACTGTGTTAGTCTGCCTGTGATGTTCTTTCCAGAGTGACCCAGCTGCACCACAGGGCTATAGCTACTCTTTAGCACGTCATTAGAGTTCCCTCTGCTCACCCCACATCAGCACACTAATCTCTCCCCACCCACTGCCTGATCCTGAACAGCTGAGGGGTATGGTAGTCTGTGCTGTTGTCTTCAGAATTTCAATACCAGGTATGTAAGATATTATAGAGGCTATCTGGACTCTTGAGGAACACAGAGAAAGCTATTCTAGAATTACTTACCTCCCATCAACTCCAATTTCCTGTCTCCTTGTTACAGAGCATCCTGTCCCCACAGCTATCCCCTCCCTCTTCTGCCTTTCTGTTCACTGGCTCTGTTCCATCTGCCTTCAAGTATTCACAGACTCCCTTATCTTGGGAAATAAAATAGATCCCAACCCCTGTGCTCGATCGCTTGAGTCTTCCTCTTCCTGTAAGTGTGGTCCCATTTCTTCCCTCCCTCTACTACCAGCTTCTCTACACAATGTGTCTGCTACTTCTATTTCCTCTCCCTTCAACTGTCTCCTAAATAATAGCCCCAAATTATATTTTCCCTTTGTCAGGCACTGTTCTACACACTTCACAAATATTAATTCATTATATTCTTTGAATTTGGCACTATTATCATCTACACTTGACAGATGAGGAAACTGAGGCACAGAGAGGTTAGTAACTTGTCCAGCATCACCCACTGGTAATTGACAGAGTTTGGATTCAAATGCAGGCAGTCTGGTTCCATAATACACTCTAACTACACTCTACACTCCCTCATTGTCTTCAGACTCCTGTAACTGGATTTCATTCCCACAACAGTAAAACTTGTCTCTTGGAAACTCTTGGTATTTACTCTCATCTGTGGTATTGGAGTCCTTGGGCTAACACACCTGTACTGCATATTAAGATCTGATATTTACCAGATTGTCCCTCTCTTTTTGGACAATATAATGAAACTTCATTAATCTGAAATGAACAAATCATTCTGATGAGTGCTGAACTAAATTTTATACTTTCATGATATGTAAAAAGGCATTAATTGGTCCAGGGAATAAGTAAAACACATAAGTCAGTGGGGGCAGAATTTGACCTACTTCAGGGGGAAAAATGTAGATAATTTTAGAATGTCGAAATGCAAATCCAGGCTTCTGATAACAAATGAGTTTTACTAGATCCAGACAATAATCTATATCATGCACTTGATTCCAGCCATGGAGGGATGAGTAATCTCACGGGGAAACAATTGAAATAAGAATAAAATGACATATAATCACACTCCAGAGTATAACCCCGTGACTTTGGCCATCATCTAGTTGGTTGGAATTTGCAAGGCGTATCCTGAGAGCTGGAGAGTTCTTTTTAGGCAACATGCCAACTTTTTAGCCAACCATGTCACCAAGAGAGTGGTGATGCCTGTAGGAGTAAACAAAGCTGCATATGTCAAAGCTAAAAGGAGTCTTGGAGATCATGCAGTCCGACTCCCTCATCTACAGACAAGGACATGAGGCAGAGTTGTTTTTGATAGTCACAAAGCTAGTTTGCAGCCAAGTCCTGTCTGGAATTTGGCTTCCTTATTACTGTTCCATCATGAGGCCCAATAATTGATCTGTAGATTTGATCCACTCATAAACATTCCTGGCATATAACAGTTATTCAGCGGACACTGGTTTCATAAAAAAAAAGAAAGAAAGAAAGCTGTGGATAACCAAGCCAAGTGAAAAACCAGCACATGTGACCTAGCCAGTTATCCAAGTCTCTGAGTCCCACCTGCTCTTATTCATTGATGTACCCGCCTGTGACGAGACCAGGCCTGCGACACTGCAGCTTAGTTACTATTTGACACTTAAATGAACAGTTTCTACGTGCTTTTACACAGAATGTCTGTAGGTGGGTGGATACTTCCATTTCATGGGTGAAAACCATTACAGCTTAGCAAAGTTCAGTGCCTTGTTCAAGTCTCGACCTAGAACCAGGATTAGAAACTGGGCCTTTGGCTCCTGATTCATTACCTAACTGAAAAATTATTGCTTTCTGATAAAAACATCTCAATTAGTTAATTGTTCTGTATAGGGATAAAGATAGATGCGTAACAGTCAGCAAAATTCTAAGGAAGCACGCACAGCTGGCCCATCGTCCACTATCGTTGACCACTCGCTGGTCTTGGAGAGAGGCATCATTTTTACCCCGGGTCCTACTAGTCACACTACTGACAAGAAGAAAGTTGTCCCTTCTTCTACTTCAAAGCATTCCTGCCCTTCTTTGCTCTCTTCTCAGAGTTCAAACTGCCCAGAGAAACAACAGTGGCGGGCCCAGCGCCTCCCCTTCTGGTGACAGTTCCCATGGCCTCTGTGAGATTCAGAGCCGCTGGAGCTTCAGGACAGCCTCAAACGTCTTACAGCCTGCTCCTCAGCAGAACTTCATCTTGTGGGTTTTTACAGCCTTACTGTCCAACAAGGTTACACTGTACCTAGGCTATATGACCTCCAATACTTCTATTCGAATCCTGGTCTTTTAAAGCAGTCCTGTCTTTTTCTCAGTCTAAAACATTAAGATATAGTCTAAAGATATAGCCTGTAGACCTTAAATACAGTTGACACTGGTTTCCTCAAATAGCACAGGTTGTAGAAACCCTAAGAACTTAGGAGAAAGGGCAATAAAAGTGATTTAGGTGAGTGTGAGGTTTCATAAAGAGGCACAGGGAGTGAAAAGCGGAACTGGTCAAGAGGAGAACAGTTTGAACAAAGATGAGGAAGGCGCGAGAGGCACATCTCCCAGCACAGCTGCTGTGGTGGGCGTTTCCCTCTGAGACAGGCTGGGTGAAGCCGGACAGCAGTTGGGGAAGCAGGACTGTGACCCCACTCAAAGCAGTCTAAGACTTGGACACAATTTGGGGGGATTACAACTGATGATGGCAGCCAAAAACCTAAAGTAGGAAGAAGGGTCAATTGTTAAAAATTCCCTTCTGGGAAGAATATCCCAGACTCCACAGACAGCAGTGGCTGCCCGGCCTCGGGCTTCCAGGGACTCTTGTCCACACCTCTGCACACCTGTTACGTTGCTGGGCCCGTCTGCTGTCACGCGTGGCTCCTCAGGAGACTCTGAGAAGCTTGAATATCAACAGTGAAGATGTACCTCATCCCAGAAGATTTCTTTATTTCATGCTACAAACTAAGGGGGAAAAAGTCTTCTCTTCAAAATTCTGACCTACATTATGTAAATGAAAACCCAGAGTTTTTCAATGTCCTAGATGTCTAACCAGCCTTTCGTGGGGACTATCCAGAGGCAGGGAAATTTTCACTATAAAGTGCTTCTCTGTAAGAAAGAATATAACAATTCTTCCACAGCATGCAATAAAATCTTTAGATTCTCTACTTCCAAATAGCCAATTAACTTATTTTTCCACTAAGAAATGCTTAATTTCTTCTCCAACTCATTGTTTTTCATTAGGAGGGCACGTATAATATGTTTCACTTGAATATTTGTTTCAAAATCTCTTTTCCAATTTATCACCAAATCCAAGTCATTCTTCCTGTTTTATGTGTCTGGGAAATCCTTTCCTCCCTAATCATCCTGCATCTTTCTTAGCTCCTCCTTTGCTCTCCATCCACTGCATCACTGACCTCCTTTAGTCCCCTAAGAGATTTCTCTGCCTCTAGTCTCTGCTATAACCCATCCCTCATAAAATCCCATATTTAGCCATAGGGTGTAGAAGACAGTGGACTCTAAAACATACTACCTGGCAGGATGCCGGTTCCGCCAGTTAGCTGTGTGACCTTGAGCAAATTCCTTTAACCCGCTGGGTTTCAGTTTCTTCCTAAATTAAACGGGGACAATGGTAGTAACTACTCTATAAGATTGTTGATAGGATTAAAAGGGTTAATATACAGGGAGAGCTCAGAATTGAATCTGCCACAGTGACACAGAGTAAGCCCTCAGGAGGTATTAACTATTACTAGTTCAGCTACATTGGACATGTCCTTCATTATGCCGGCCTCACCTGTAGACTCTTGTAAGGGAGATTCCTCTGCACACAACCCTTGCTGGATCCTTGGACAAGGCTTCTGCACACACCAGGCTACCTGATTGGACAAGGTATGCAAACCCGAGCCGTAGGCTAGCCACTGATCTGACCTGCCAGTCAAGGAACAATGAACGAGGCAGAGACTTCCTCTCTTGAGAATCTGAATTTGGAAATGTGGAAAAAATGGAGAAGTTAGCAACAGAACCAGAACCACGAGGAAGCAGATACTGTAAGCAAGTAAAAATTATGAAGCTAAGAAATTACATTGACAGTAGAGAGAAAGAATTGGCAGCTGGTAGTGGACATCTAATTTTCTACACAGGTAGAAAATATCTAGGTCCAATGATGGTGGAGGACTAGTGGGAAATTCTATTTATTCCAATTGTTGCTTCTCTGGATCCTGGTCTACCCTCTAACTCCAGCCGACGTACTCCAGGTCATAACAATCCATTACAATAATCCTCCCCTTGCTTGAGCTAACCTGAGAGGCGTTGCGTTTCTTACGTCCCAAAGAACTCTCATAGCTAAACAATGGCCCTGCAGACACGTTGGATGATGGGTTGGGGAATCTGATCCCTACTTTAGTGACCCCCAGCGCCCATCAATCAGTCAACTCTCTGCCTTGAGATGCACCCTGCACACTGTTCCCACAGCTCTCCTCATCCTGAACCAGCTCCCATTCCTTTGGGCATATGCACAGCCTAATTTTCTTTCAAGGGCCAGTTCAAATCTCACTTTCTCCTTGAATATCTGAGTACCATACCAGACAGAAGTGGATGCAGGTTTTGTAGGACCTGAAGAGTGTACAACTTTGTTTACCGAAGTGAATATAAGACCAGACCTGGGGCCTGGGAAAAGGCCTGGGCAAGGGAAGGGCTTGGAAATTTGAGCTTCGTGAGCTTCACCAGACATCTGCCTTGGATCCCAGCTCAGGAAGAACCTTTCCCCCATGAAATTATTCCATTCTCCAACAGCGTGCATAAGCATGCAGTCCTGCTACATAAATGATCATGGTTGTTACCCTGCCTCCCACTTTGGGAGCATCACTTGTGGCTGGGCTGCAGCATCCTCCCTCCTGGGGCCTGAAGAAGAAACCTCTGACGTCCGACAGGTCTGCACTTGGGTGGGAGAACATGGGTACACACCACTGCTCCTGCTCATTTAGCCTCTAGTCTCTGCCACCTGATATTGTTAGTTAAGCCATTCTCCACACAGCTGTTTTTAAAGGAAACCTGATCATTATACGCACACGTTCACAAACGAGCCCATGCATATGCTGCATAAAGTTGTTATTTTCCTATTATCCTTAGAATGAAGACCAAAATCTCTTTCATGGCACACAAGATTCCTGTCTACCTCTCCAACTTCATTCCTCTCTCTTCTTCCCTCTCCACGCCCCAGCAGTACCTGCCTTGTTGTTCCCTGAATGCTGTGCCTCTTGGATACTTAGGGGTTCTGCACATGCTGTTGCCTATGCCTGAAATGCTCTTCCCCATCTGCCTGCCCCCTACCCTTCAGCTACTTCTTATTCTGGAAAACTTCACTCATCCTTCTGGTATTGGCCCCCAGGAGATGGGTACCACGCAATGGGCTCCCACGTCATGCCAAGCCTCCCCTTGCTTGTTAGCAGAACACAACAAAGGGCGTGGAAATGGAATTCGTCTTCAGGGGAGTTCAGCTCTTTTTGTTTGGGAAATGCTTCGATGAGTCCTTTGGGTTTTGTGAAAGTGAAGCCCACGACCTAGGAAGGGAATAGTTAAGACAGAGACACAGGGCTGTTCTGCAGAGCGCCATGAAGGGCCACCTTCATGGTGGAGAGGGCAGTGTTTCTGGGAGGTAAAAAGAGGTTTTTGGCTGCCTTTTTTTGTGAGGGGAGGATTGGTTGAGGGTTAGAGTAGGTCTGGGGGTTTACAGTCCTGGGACTCAGAGTCTCTGAATATGACAGACGCCAGAAACATGTCAGCAGAGCCCCAGTCCAGAGCGAGGCCTGCCAAGTGACAGCCAGAACAGCAAGGACTCCTGGCATCTCCACAGGAGTCAGGAGGGGGTCCTGAGGTCCCCCAGAATGTGCTTGAATTCTTTTATCTGATAGTAAAGAAAAAGAACTCCCTACGGCCAGAACTGGGGGTATTGGGATGCAGTCAGAGTCATTTACCAAATATCTGTGTCACCTGATCATAAGCTCCATGGAACAGGGTTCATATCTATCTGTTTCTGCTCTCCGCCCACAGATCGCAGTGCCTAGCACAAAGGATAGACTCAATAAATATTTTATGAGTGAATGAATGATCTTTTTAAAAAAGATTACAGCTCTTTTGAATCAGGAACTGTGTGGAAAATGTTCTCTAACGTCAAAGAGCCCAACCCGATATCGGGCACAGAGTGGCACTGGTTGGTGTTTGCTGACTGATTTACGATCCACTGTATATATAGAAGGGAAATTTTTTTCCTCTAAGCTTGGTGATAACCATACACACCTGGTCAAATTCACATCCTGCCTTATCTTTTATGCGCACCCTCGCTCTGTAAATGTAAACCACACAAAAGGAAGAACAATTACTTGGGATCAAGAAGACGGTGCTGTAGAGACGAACTCTTCCCTGCACCATACTTGCTGCCCTCTGACTCCTTGAATTCCTTGGCTTGTTCCCCATCTGGAGTTTCCTGGCTCTCAGAAACAGGAGGATGCGGCCCTATCCCCACTTGGAAGTAGACTTTGACCTGAATTTGGTTCCTCAAAAGTCCCGGGCTCAGGAATTTGTTGTTATGAGCCGGCCAGAGGCCTGTGAGTGCCCATGATTGTTGGGTTGAGTCCCGAAAACTTGTTTCTAGATTTTCAGTATGGTATGGCTTAGCTACTGTGGCTATCTGTCACGTTGGTAATTAATAAAATTGATTTAAATAGCTTTATTTAAATTGATTAAAATAACAAAATTATTTTAACTATTCAAGTTTACTCTACTAACCAAAGAATAAGGATAGCCTAGGAACTCACTTCCTACTTATCAATTTAAAGGAAAAAGTATTTTTAAAAATGTATTTTTTTTCGAGAATGGGAAAGAATGAAGTTGTGGAGTTCAGAAAGATAGGGAAGGTATTTCAGCGAAGCAACAACAATACTCTTTAAACCTTCAAGTACCTCCTGATTATTTTCTTGGATTGGTAACAGCATCGTCTCGTACCCCTTCCCCACACCCATGGCAACCCGTCCATCATTATAGCCCTGGAGAAGTGGGAGAGCAAAGGCCAACTCGAGAAGGAGGGGAAACAGCCTGCAGAGGCCTTTGCAGACAAAGTTCTCCTAGGAGGGCACAAGCTAGGAAGAGAAGCAGGAGATAGGGTCCTTACTTCTCCACCACAACTGCTTCAGCATCAAACCCAGCACTGGGAGGATGACGAAAGAACAGAAACTTGGAATAGAAAGAAAGAATGGCTACAAGCCGTTGAGGACATAGCCTCACAGGTGTCCTGGCACACGTGTGTGGACACTTCTGGAGGAGGAGAATGGTAAGGAGAGGGCCATGATGATACTCTGAATGTCCTCCAGCTTCCACGTGGTGGAGGAGGGCCCCCGGAGTCTCCCTGGAGTTCACAGAAGAGAGGAAAGCTGAATGCCAGAAGGACTGCCATGGAGCTGCTATGTTTAGGGTCAGGGTGACACCCTGGCAGACACAGCACTGTCCCAGCAGTGGACACCCCAAGGTAGTGTCCAGAGGAAGGAAGTGGCAGAGTCTTGAGGGGCTACGTGCCAGTGGGACAACTGTAAAGCTAAGTCAGCACGGTAGGACCAGAGGGCTCAACAGGTGCTGAAGAAACAGTTCACAGGTTTCGCCAGCCCTGAGCCAATGGGGGATGCCCGCAGTTACCTAGCAACCGAGAAGACCACATCAACTCTAGGGAGGGTGGGGAGAACCCACGGGCAGGGCCAGGACCTGCACATGGACACGCTGCCTCTCCTTATGTGCCCCATTATCATGAGGGGATCTAAGCATTCTCCTTCACACAGTCAGCATCTTGGCTAACGGAAGTGGGGCCTGAGAAAAACCATGAAGAAAGAATATTTCCCTCAAAAACATTGAAGTAAGGCAAACTGAGAAAAAACAGATGGACAAAATACCTTCAACTGTAAGTCTAAGAACTCATCCTCTACCGTCCCACCACCCAGCCCCGTCCGAGCTGGCAGAGAACGTGGATTTGTGGGGAAGTTTTGTTCCATACAGAAAATTTTTTAAAGACATTTTTTTAAATAGCCCAGTTGTAGACTGTACAATTTTCACTCTAGCCACTAGCAAAAGTAGAGACTCTAAGAGCCAATGCCACAAATAAATATGGTGACTGCCTTTATAAATCTATGAATCTCAGCCCCTTGTTGTCCAGTTTAATGCATTATAAAGGTGATCAGGAAAGAAACTGAAACAGTGCCCAAGAAGCTAATCAAAGGAGAAGGCTGTCCTAATTCCAAACAGGCTAGAAGTGTATGTTAAAGCCAAATTAAATCTAATGAGAGGTGTGAGTTTGGTCTGTTGTTAAATTGTAATCAGAGACACTCAGTGGAGCGTCTCATTGCAAATTTATGCCATTTTTAAAAGATAAATCACAGGACATATAGCTGAGATACAAAGAAAATAATCAAATGCACTCTTACAGTATGCCACCAAATCAATAGTTGAGAAGGATTAAGGAAGATTAAAGACTATCAGAAATATGGTAATTGCACTTAGTAATGAATTTTGTGATAATCCTTATTCTCCAGGTGAGAACCGATTTGATTGATCTCTAGGCACTTCAGTATTCTGGAAGAGCTCCCAGTCCCTGAAGCTGCAAGTGGGTCACTGTCAGAGTCGAAACATGTACATGGCTAGGAAGTGACCTGAACCCCATGGGCCCTTCTATGCATCGCAGTAACCCGCGACCACCCAATACAGCCAAATTAAATCAGGGCCAGTGTGACCATGTCATGAGACTGATGATTGGACAGTAGCAGAAGCTGTCACAGGTCTTTTATCTTCCAGGCAAATAAATTCAACTGAGAGTGAAGGTCAATCCAATTTGGCACTCACTGATTACAGATCTTTTATGTGTAAGACACCATGCTAGGCATTAAAAGAAAATCTTGACTCACCACCAATAAAAATGCTATAAACTGTATATAATTAAATG